TGATGTATGGTTTAGAGACAGTAGCAATAGGCAGAAGACAGGAGGTGGAGCTGGAGGTGGCAGAGTTAAAGATGCTAAGATTCTCTTTAGGAGTGACAAGAATGGACAGGGTCAGGAATGAGGTCATTAGAGGGACAACACAGACAGGAATGTTTGGAGGAAAGGTTGAGAAGCCAGATTGAGATGGTTTGGACATGTGCAGAGGAGGGACAGTGGATACATCGGTAGAAGAATGTTAGAGATCGAGCTACCAGGTAGGAGAAAGAGAGGAGATATATGGATGTAATGAGAGAGGACATGCAGATAGTTGGAGTCAAGAGTAGAAGATACAGAGAACAGGGAGAGATGGAAAACAATGATTCGCTGTGGCAACCCCTGAAAAAAGGGACAAGATGAAAGAAAAAGAAGAAAAAAGACAGTGGAGCTTCAAGATACGAGTTTAATCTGTTCCAAAACACCACTCGTAACTCTTCCCCATTAAAATTAATTGTAAAATAATCTCCACAGTTCTGGCTAAGAACAGCAAACCCATCCACACAACCATCCTTAACCCCCACGTCCACCTGATCGGCGAGGACGCAGCCTGCATCGCCTACATCCGCCTGACTCAGTTTGTCGACAGCCAGGGCCAGCCTCGTTCCAGTCAGTCGGAGGAAACTCGCGTGTGGCATCGCAGGGACAGCAAGTGGCAGAACATCCATTTCCACTGCTCAGGCGCTCCGGCTGCGCCGCTCCAGTGAGGTAGAAAACCACCTGACGTGAAACACTTTTTATTCCTCTCTCTCTTTTTCTATTTCTTCTCACTTTTGATCTTCTATTTGTTTCTTTCGTGTTTCTGATTCCCGCTTTTATTGGTGGTGGTTAGGAACGTTAGGAACATCTGTTAATTTTGTCTGACTGATGTTATCGGCCCGATATTAGCATATTTGGTGATGTAAGAATCGTTATCGGTTTATCCGGTAATGAAAACCCGATAACGCAATGCCAAATGATGTGTGCCCTGAAAATAGTTTTGGGGATAAACGGCTGTATATTAAAGTGAAAGTCACTAGATGGCAGCATTGCAGCTCATTTAATTAATCTCCTACTCATACAGTGGTTTGTACTGTACAGATAAATAAATAAATATTACCAGGCCTATATCAGTATTGGTTGATATCGGAATTGGAAATTAGGTTTTTGGACAATATCGGCATATCGGGTATCGGCAAAAAAGTTAATATCGGACATCCCTGTCAGTGGTCATTGTATCGGGGTTTTATTTACCGGACACTCTTGTATTTTCCTCCACAGGGATGAAGGCCGTAGGTTTTTCAGTGAGGAGTGCCCTGGAAAAGACCAGGAGGAGGAGGAAGATGAGGAGGAGAGAAAAGGATGAAAAAACAAGTTTCAGTTTCAGGCACTCCTCAGCCCCCTGCAGCAAACCCCTCTCCAGCTCACTGAGGAAGTCCAGCCTCAAACCCCCAGCATGCATCTCCTCTGTCACGACTACTGCCCCTATCTGTCACCTGCCACGACACACTTTCAGCAGCATCATCTGACTTTCTGCCTAACTCTCCAGCCTCCTCCTCCTCCTCCTGAACGATGGGTGGAATGAAGATGTTCTACGCACTTGTGTGATTCCCTCCCTCCCTCTGTACCTCCCCCATGCCCCAGAACTCCCCAAACTTTGAGTGACACCGTCTCTTTGTCCTCTTGTGAATCCACACCTGTGTGACACACTGCAGTGGGAATACAGTATGTAAAGTTTATGTTCAATCAATGTTGATGATGATGATGATTATTATTATTATTATGACACATTTGCAGTTGTATATGTCATTTGTGTAATTCTTGATGCCAGTGGTTTCTAGAATTTAAGAAAATATTTTTTTGTTTTGTTTTAATTTTTTTTTTCTCTAACTTTTTAAGGAAGCATGTTTTTTTCCATATTACCAGTGGCTGTTTTTATCGTGGCTTTTAAGTGAAAATGATATCAGCTGTTTTTGTATTTCGCCTTTCATACGTTTGCTATGCTACAGTGCCCAAACTCGTGGTCGGCCATTTACCTGCCAGTTTTCGTTCTACTCTTTTTGGAGGTGGATGGTGGTGGGGTCTTTTGTGGGGTGGGGGAAAAGGATTATGTTTAAAGCACAAGAGTGAGTCCTTGTGTTTGTTTGTGTTTGTGTTTTTTGTGTGTTTGTGTATGTGTGGCTGTGGGTTTGTAGGGGAAACACTGGAGGAGGAACCTGTTGTTTTGACTTTGTTTCAGTGTCAAACTGTCATGCATGGGTCTACAGCAGGGGTCGTCCACACTTTTGTGGCTACTTTTAAAATGGCCCTTGAAAATGTTAAATATATATTTTAACTCAACATACTTTAAATATACATTATATGTTGGGATACTGATTCAATGCACGTAGCTTCATGGCACAATATGATACAATTCTTACATTTATTTTATTGCTCAGGATCTTCCAGTCCTCCCATTTGTAGATCCCGATCCACTTATTGGCCACTGCTGGTCCATATTGTTCTCCTCTTCTGAAGTGACGATCACTAAACTTTAAACACTGTCGAAGTAAAGAAAAGCGGCATTTTATACACAAACACACCAGTGAAAAAGTGCTGACGTCCAAAGTAGCCGGTGTTGTTACTATTCTACCTAAAGAATTCAGGGTATATATTTGTAAAATCGGACAAAAATAAGATTTAAAAAAAGACTTTAACTTGAAAAGACTATAACTCTATCTGTGCTACAACACTTAGAATTTATACGATAGAGTCGGTCTGTGTTGCAGCTTTTGTATTTTTACGCTTTTAAATTTTAAACAGGACCTGAGACCAAGACAATCACATTTTATAAGTCGTTCTTTCCTCCTAAATAAAGTTCAATATATTACAGTATATACAGTATAGTAATGCATTTTTGATACGATGTTACTTGAGAGACGAGACGCACACCGGGTGACCCCTACTGGACACCCGCAGAGTTGTACTCCTACTCAGTACTACTCAGTACTGTTTGTATTGTACTTAAAAAAAAGCACAGTCAGCGTGAATTTGGTCCATTCATAAATACTGCATTATTATCCTCCCTGCTTGGACCCAATGTAAATTGGCTGAAGAGCTTCATAAGGCTTAGGAGCCACAGGTTGTAGACCTCTGGTCTTCTTTTTGTCAGAAAATCATACTTCTAACTGCTGCCACTGTGCAGCCCTAGTGGCACATCTCAGCTTATTAAACCAGTATTTATAACTAAGCAGTGGGTTTCTATTTTAAAATCGAATGGCGCTACATCGACTTGACCGTTACCGGTCCCAAAGCTATAGTGAAAAGTACTATATAGAGTATAAACTATTTTTAGGGCACACTTCGTTTGGCTAAAACCCAGACATTGGGTTTTTATTATCGGAGGAAAAAACAATAACGATTCTTACATTACATAATATGCTAATATCGGGCCGATATTATCAGTTATGTACAGTACGTGGGTCTAGGTGTAAATAAGTGGTGTCTACAAGGTTCATCTGGTCACAGCCTTTGTCACTATTCTCTGTGTGTGTGTTGGGCAATGTATTTTAAGACCTGTCGGTAAAATCTGCAGGTGTCGTTCAGTGTTTACGAGGTTGTTGGAAAATGCCTTTTTTTCTTCGTTTTCCTTATTCTATGGACATATTCGTCCACCGCCTTTTAAACTGAGTGTTCAATTCGTGAAGTTCTTGAATTCGAAATTCGAGAATCTTTCGTCCTTTTCTTCGTGTTTCTCGTGTCGCTCTTTATGTTTCAGTATAGCGTTATTACGATGAAGGTATTGGTGCCAGTGCGACAGGATTTCACGGATGGACTTAGCAAAAACACTGAATATTTGATTTTGTCCGAGTGCGACTTTGCTCATCCACCGTTGACTGCCTTCTCATTTGTCTCCTCCTACTGGCCAGATCAAGTGGTAGTATGAAGAGGAGCGGGCAGTCATTTTGGTGAATAGTCCTCAGGTTTTTATTTATTTTAAATATTTATTTATTTATGTCATAGGTTTATTTTTTATTGTGCTTTCATTTGTTGTGTTTTCCTCTCGTTGTACAGCTCGTGTGCATTTAGTGTCTGCCATTAAAGGGCCACAGTTACGTGATCTTTTTAAAGGGATGGTACACGAAGTTGTGTTCTGCATGTTTTTTTTTGTAACGACCAACAATGGTGTGATTTTATTTTGATTTTTTTTTTGTCATGACTTATTTATCTGCAGTTTTTTAATCGTGTCTTTGTGCCTACATTTAACACACATATGTGACGCGAGATGATGACACGTACCTTCACATGCTTTTTTAATATAATTTGCCGACTCATATCAGAGTAATGACGTCCATGTCACTCGACTATTTGACAACAGACGGGGAATCCGTTCTCATTAGTGTGTTTAGTACGACATGGGTTTAATATGAGGGAGTACACAGTTATACACAGCTGTCATTTTCTCTTCATGACAGTCACTCGTTTGATCCCTTTTTTCACCGTTTTCTACTGAACGCTGTGTAAAAGTCGACATTTCTCTATTTTCTCAGCTTTGTAAGTGCATATAACTTTTTGTGTTAGAATGATTATATGGAAGACGATGATGATGACGATTATATTCATGACTCTGGAACTAAGGATGACGTTGACAATGATGATGCTGATTATTTTGCATGCTTCTTTATGTGGGCCCTGTGTTGTTGGCCTTTTGTATATAAAACAGAGAGAGAGTATATAAGAACCACGTGACGAGTGTCGCTTCGATGAGCTTATTAAATCGCAAGCAGCTCCCAGAGACCACCAGGGGGCGCAATCACACCACAAAAAGCACAAACCGATGTAGCGGTATTTTCATGTTAGTGGCAAATCTAAGAGGGGAAAACAGCGGTTCATCACAGTAGAGTAAGAAGCAGCTCCAAACCATTGATACGTCACAAGTCAAAACGCTGTGGTCTCTTCAGTTTGGCCTTGTAGTTTTAGGCCTCTCTCTCTCTGTCTCTCTCTCTCTCTGTCTCTGTCTCTCTTTTCCTTCGGACCTCTTTACAGCCGTTTATCCGCGGCTACCTTTTTTTTCTATTTCCCTCATTTGTCTCTGTTTTGGGTTTCTTCTGTAAAATAATGACTATCCTCTGGTTCTGACTCTATGGATTATTGCTCTGTTTGCTTAAATGCTGTTATGTAAATGTGTTAACGTGCTATCAATAAAAAGACAGTTTAAATGATAAATGATCCGTTATTTGTGTGTAATGACTAGCAAATGTTGGTGGGAATTAGGAGGGAAGATTCATGGACAGAGTGGCGCTTTGGCCCAGAGGCAATGTCTCTGTCATTGGTGTGGAACCCCAGGGTTCACCTCCTGGGTAAGGTCGAATCCCGGTTAGGGTGGTTGGTATGTGGCAGTCATGGAGACTGCTGCCCCCGCGACCCGGTGGATAAGCGGATTCATGGACAGACGTGAGGATTGTGAGAACGAGTAAAAACGATGGGTAAAAAAAACCCGAGTGACTACAGTGGCCTCTAGAGGAAACAGGTAGAATTTCATCGTGTCCCCATCCAAATGGAAATACTCTTGGTTTTAATGGGAGGTATTGTACTTAACAATGACTCTGGTATCAATCAAAACAGTTCATTTCACCTTATTAAACAAAATTGTAGCCCAGTCTGTGCTTTGGAAACACATTCTACCACAAAACACAGAACCAAGGTTGGGAAAAAAAATCAATTTTAAGCATTTTTTTATAGTATTAACAGACATTTGAATCGGTTTTTACTATATTACTTTACTGTTTTCAAATTAAAATTCAAAAACTTACTTTAATAATATTTAAATGGATACCTGGTCTAAATTCTGTGTACAGAAATTGGAAAAAATAGAAACACAAATATAAAATACACAAAAATAAACAAGCCACTAGGGTACACAAGCCAGTGCTACTAAAGTGATACTGTAGTGCCGGTCCCAAGCCCGGATAAATGGTGAGGGTTGAGTCAGGAAGGGCATCCGGCATAAAACTTTTAACCAAATCAAATATGCGAATCACTAAAACGATTTCCATACTGGATCGGTCGAGGCCCGGGTTAATGACCTGAATGTAGGCACAATTACAGGGAAAAGTAGAGAACTAGCTGATATGATGTAGAGAGGAACCTTGTGGGAACAGTTTGGAGCGGGCCCCTTCCTCTTCCAACATGACTGTGCACCAGTTCACAAAGCAAGGTCCATAAAGACATGGATGACAGAGTCTGGTGTGGATGAACTTGACTGGCCTGCACAGAGTCCTGACCTGAACCCGATAGAACACCTTTGGGAAGAATTAGAGAGAGAATTAGAGCGAGACTGGCCAGGCCTTCTCGACCAACATCAGTGTGTGACCTCACCAATGCGCTTTTGGAAGAATGGTCAAAAATTCCTATAAACACTCTCCTCAACCTTGTGGACAGTCTTCCCAGAAGAGTTGAAGCTGTAATAGCTGCAAAAGGTGGACCGACATCATATTGAACTCTGGGTTAGGAATGGGATGGCACTTCAGTTCATAGTATGAGTCAAGGCAGGTGAGCGAATACTTTTGGTAATATAGTGTAGTTGGAGTCAGAGTAGAAGATGCAGAGAACAGGGCAATATGGAAATCAATGATTCGCTATGGCAACCACTGAAAAAAGGGACAAAGCCGAAAGAAAAAGAAAAAAAAGAAGAAGAAGAAGAAGAAACACAAATATTAACTGATGGCTTTTTATTTTAGGATATAAAACAACATCTGTAAAAATTGGCCTTTACCATAAATAAATCACAATGTCATAAATAAATTACCAGTAGGCAAAAAAACACATCCCAACATCTCCTCTTAGACCGGTTTCACCAGTCTCTCACTGGCCTCCCACAGTTTTTTGGCCACACCGGAGTCTCTGGCGAAAGGTCGCAGTGTGGCGGGCCTGCAGTCCACGAAGTATCCCCCGCTGTGTTTGGCCGCTTCGTCTGACACTGCGCAGTAGATGACAGTTTGAGCTCCAGTCTCGCAGGGCACAAAAAACATCCACATGATCACCTGCATCAGCATCCGGAAGAGGAAGGAATAGTGGCAGGTCCAGCTGCTTTGGACAAAACCTAGAAGAACAAGGATGAATAATGAAAGGTCAGCGAAGTAACTATGCGGCTGAGGTTTGGACACTTGAAAATGTTAAGAGTCCATTCTCTGATGTTGCGCTACCTTTTATATACCGCCCTTTTCTTATAAAACTCACCAGGGTGCACAGCGTACGAGGTCACGTCCTTCCCTTCCATGATGCGACCCAGTTCCTGGCTGAAGTAGATGTTGGCCAGTTTGCTGCGGCAGTAGGTAAAGAAGGGAAGCAGATTGTAGTTGAGGTCCTGAAAGTCCAGCTTCTGATATTTGTAGTTGGAGCACGTGAGGGTGATGACTCTACTGGGGGCACATTCTTTCAGGCGCGGCAGGAGCAGATTGGTGAGGAGAAAGTGACCTAGGTGATTGACCCCAAAACACATGCTGAAGCTGTCGTCTGTCCAGTCGAGGACACCGGGAATGGCTGTAAAAGTAGATCAGAGGGGAGAGTGCTGTAAGTAGGTTTTTTGTTTATACCCCCACATTGTTACCCACTCCTACCTGCATTATTGATAAGGATGTCCAGTCTTTTCTCTCTCTGAAGGAAAGTCTTGCAGAACTCCCTCACGCAGCGCAGGTTGGCCAGATCCAGCTCCATGTGAGTGACGTTCAGGCTGTGACTTTTAAACTTGATTTCCCTCACAGCCTTCTCTGCTCTGCTGGGGTCTCTGCAGGCGATGACGACTCGAGCTCCTCTTAACGCCAAAGCAACAGCGGTCTCCTTACCAATGCCGGAACTTCCACCTATAAAACGAACAACGAGTTGAGTTTATTAAAGATTTTTTTTTACTATTCTTCGGTAGTCTCCACAAACCAGCACTTGCTTTATCATCTCCGCGAATCTTCCTCAGAGACACTATTTTTTTAGAACATACTATTAATGAATACCGACCCCCTCTACCTCCTTAACCGTCACTTCTGTCAACGTTTTGTTGCTGCAGTAAGAACTGCGGGTGAGAAACAACAGGACGTGTTTATTTACCTGTGATTAAAACCGTCTTGCCATCGAGTCTTTTCAGGTCGGTGCAGGTCCGTCTCTTTTTGAGCCATTTCAAAAAGAAGAAACAAACCAATGACGCTAAAATGGTGTAAAGCAAATACATTTTTCTGTGTTTGGATGAGCCTGGAGCTGAAGTCCTGCTGGTCTGTTAGCTCGCTAAGGGAAAAAAAATCGTTTCTTCCTTTCCTCGTTATTTTTCCATTATTTTTGTTGACGCGGTTACGCCGGCGGAAATAATATTACGCTAATGGATTACGAGGTAGCTTAATATTTATCTAAATTTTCGCATTTTAATTCAATGTTATAGTGTTCTTTCTCGAAGATGCCAAAGAAGGTAAACTGCGCAGGCGCCGCATGCTCTAGTATCGCATAGTCTCGCGAGAAAAGAAAAACTAAACAACTCAGGAAGTAAACGTGCTAGAAAAAAATAAAAGCATATGCCGGCATTTACATTTAGTCTAGCGACACAATATAAGCACTGAATGACATCTCCGTATTTTGTTAAATTATGGAATTATTCATTTACACTTCATTTTACTTACTACTTCATATAAGTATTCATTAGTTTTCGATCTTTTTCTTTAGGCTTAATCCCTTTTCAGGGGTTGCCACAGCGAATCATTGAATTCCATCTCTCACTGTTCTCTGCATCTTCTACTCTGACTCCAACTATCTGCATGTCCTCCCTCACTACATCCATATATCTCCTCTTTGTCTCCTACCTGGTAGCTCCATCTCTAACATTCTTCTACCAATGTATCCACTGTCCCTCCTCTGCACATGTCCAAACCATCTCAATCTGGCTTCTCTAGCTTTTTCTCC